TCCCAAAAACATATAAAAAACAAAAAAAAATGATCGTTCTACCCGTACACTTGCTCTCTAAATATCATAAACCATGTGAAATGCCATCATTTCAATTGTTCATGAAATTTGTATTTATTTACAAAAATATTATACATACAATATTTATTTACAAAAATATAATACATACAACTTTGTAAAACAACAAATGACTAGAAGTATTCACAATAGTTGGACCCCGTGTGGGGTACCTAACAAATCTATTCAGGAATGAATTATCTAAGAATGAAAGACAGTTTTTTTGGTATTAATAATTTTATATCATCATCATCTGAACCTTATCTCAACTATTTGGGATTGACAATTTTGCATGTTCTCTTAAAATTCAAGTGCAAAATCAATACCTTGAATGGCAAAGGACCAAGCAATTTTTTTTTAACTCCTAATTGGTTTGGTGGGAAATAAATAAGACCAATGGTTTTGTCCAAAAAGGCCCAAGATTTCTATCAAATTACACTTGAGAAATGGTCTATCATATGGTCTCAAGAAATATTTTGCAAGACTACCAAAGATGGCTGAGAAAAGAACCCAGTGAATCATCTCAAAACTCATTTATCAAAATAAATAAATATATGAATACCTCTTTTCTTTCAGATCTTTGATTCTGTTTTAATTAGAATGGGAAATGTTTCAATGCTTATATAGCTTATTACTCTCAACAAATTGCTTAGAAACTAGCATTGACATGTATATATGCTGCATGGACATGGGTCAGACAACACTACATTTTAAACACCCATACATTAAATCTTACAATGAAACTCCTTAATGTTATTTAAAGTACTAAGTTCCCTTACTTCATATACATATGTAGATAGGTGTGTAAATGTTAATTTTAAGATTGACATTTCTGACCTCATATATATGTCAAATGCTGACACATATTTGTGTCTATGCAATATAGACTTGCAATATCCCCTCAATCAAAACTTTCATTGAACACCAAAGATACATATTTGTCGATCACCTAGAACTTAAGGAGATTCTTATGAACCTTTGGAACTAGTCGACAGGTTAACGACACTCGAGTACCACTTCTATGAATGCTACCCTTCTCAGTTCTTTGGTCCCCTTCCTCCAACTCTGAGCTCAAGGGCATCATTTGTTCCTTGTAGCTGAGAATGTCACCAATATTCACCACCTAATATCCAAATTTAAAAAATGGAAGAAATTATTAAAAGAAAGTAAAATAAATCCACAATATCTCTTAGGCACCTAATTAAGAAATTTTGTGAGAAAAAAAGACTAACTTTAATTTGTAAGGTGTGATGCTACAGCATTGAACTCCCGAGATTTTGAAACTAAAAATAAACAAATTCAATGTATGAAGCTTGCAATTATGGGGACCTCTAGGACCACTCTAGACTTCTGAAGTGAAGATTTTCAAATGATATTTGATTCACCTTGTGAACAAGTAAAGTAAATAAATCCTAAAACCCTAGATTTGAATTTTGAACATCCATCAAATGGATACTCTAGATATCATGGAGTGTGAACTAATTTGGGGTATTTTTTGAGCTCCAAATCAAATATTCTTTTTTTTGGGGGAAAAAAATTTATAATCTAGATGCGAAGAATGAATTGAGAATTTTGGGGTGAAAGAGTGGATTGGTGGTCCCACAGGAACCCTAAATCTTTTTCTGGAATGAATGAATAACTACTCCCAAATGGTTCCCTCATGACGAGAAACACCAGAAAAGAAGATTTTTAAGGGAGAAAATGGACTTGCCTCATCAATTCTCTGTATATCTGAGTCATCAATTCCATGCAAATATTCTGAAAAATTAGAAAACCAAACCGTTAAGTTACCCTACTCTATTGCTAGGAAAACGAATCCGGGGAAGTCGGAAGGCTCCCGACTCTTAAGTTGTGTCAGACAGACTAGACCGTGTCTGTCAAAAAATTAAGATAATGAGACCGGCCAAAACTCGGCCATTGGCAGTTCCCATGTGCATGTTTCTGAACTCAGCACCCGACCAAGCCCAGGTGACTCAGGCAACTGCAAGTGGACTTGCGAGTCACCCGAGGGTTCAAGCACCTATCTACTGTGATAACTACACTACTATATTCAGCTAAAGAAAGGATAACTTATTTACCAGAAAGAACAAAAAGGTTTTAGCTTCAATCCCAAATAAATCATTGAATAACTTCATAAAAGTAAAGCCGTACCGGAGTATGCACTGTCCTTGAAAATTAACAAGCTGCAAGGAATCAAGGCAACAGAGAGAGTGCAGTGTTTATCTATTTGATCTGGCACATGGGTTACACACTCAGTCAACTTCAAATGAGGAGTGAAATTCATCACAGCTGGAGACCCAAGAGACAGAATCGCAACAATTGGAAAATAAGCAGGGCCATCTTGGTGTGGCTGAGAAAGAAGAAAAATTGAGTATAGAATTAATATACATGCTGACTAAAAAATCATATAATTAAGCATTGTGCTTTTGGTTAAGTAATTGGAGAGCATAGAATAACCGATCAAGAGGAAAATGTTCATAACAAAGAGTGGAAAACTTTAGAGACCATGATTCCTTGGTTAGATAGGTACTCATTGATAAGAACATGATTGATTGGTGAAGGAAACAATCCTGTCCAGTTGCATATTCTTCTTGTGATTTCTACAAGCCAAGGAGGCACTGCACCAGTGATAACACATCAAGACTAACACAGCTACATGACATACAAATGCACATAAATACATCTGCATCATCTTGAATTTTCATTTCAGTGTACTTTAGGTTCATAGAGAATGTGCACACATAGATGTGCATGCATGTGTAACAGTGTGATAGGCAAATGTAAATAATACACGTAAATAAGCATAAATATAAATGATGTAAGCATATTACATATAATATATCTTATAAGCTAATTTACATATACCAATAAACAGAAAAAAAAAAAAGAAGAAGACGTGAACCTTATGTTCAAATAGATACATATAGATGCACACAAATAGAGCATACACGCCCATGTTTTCTACATGTTTATATGAAAAATATTCTTATGTACACAGGCATACTTCCAAATGTGTTTCTTATACACCCCTGACTGATTAAGCAAAAATTACATGTGGATCTTCTTTCCAAAAAGGAAAACATAAGGAACTTCATCCATATTGTCTAAGCAAACTAGACCATCTATGTTAACTCTAGCATTAATGTGGTGTCTATCAGGAATAAAAACTTTGTTCTTTCCAAGTAACAATTACCTCATATACCTGATATCTATTTAATGCATCAGGCAGATGCCTAAAGGAAGAAACAAAAAATGAAAACGAGACCACAGCATATGATATGAAGCTTAACCCGAACCTGTTGAAACAAAGTTCTACTACTAACTACCGCGGGTAGGCCAACAAAGGGTTTATACACTTATAGAAGGACATAATTTTCCACAGAGATTACATCCATAGACATTAGTCTGAACACAATTTTATGGGAGCATATAAGCAAGCAAATCCCAGAGGAATAAATTTCAGGTGTCTGGCATGGGTCAAGTAAAAGGGATATTACTTAACCCTCACACTTCTCTGAAAAACTTGGCTTATCAAACAAAGGTAGTGGAGAACAAGATCACTACTTCTGAAATCAGATAAAACATAACTATGCTAGACTTGAAAAAAAAAGGGACCCGGGGAGGGGGAGGGGGAGGGGGAGGTGTTGGGGGTTGAGGAATCATGTCAAAAGGAAATGACTCCATATTAAAGCTCAAGGGAATAAGATAAGTTTGAAAGTCGGCACTTCAAGCTATGGAACACTAGCTCAATGATTATATCAGAACAACACTCTGCCAGAAAAAATGATCCTAAAAGAAAGATCCGCTGAGTGTGGTACTCTCCTAATTGTTAGCATGGTATTAGTATCCTAGGCCCCTTCATCATACAATAAGCATAGCAACAGATTATAACTTTTAGAGGCGTATCTCAAAAGCATATTTCAATTAATGAATTTCAAATACCAAACCATCAACAAATAATTAAATATATAATGAAATATAAGGTTGACACCTTATGTTGTAGAATTAAGGTGCACCTAAAAATCCAATGGAAAAGTCTGTTTTCATGTTAGAAAACCATCTAATTGATCATCTTGACATCAAGATGTATGGACATGGGCGGGGGGAATCTCAGGTCTCAAAAATGGTAACATCTTGCCACACATTATCTGGACCGTCCACTTTTAAGATCTTCATGCATTTATAGATTTGCTTGATTTAAACCATTGTTGAGCATAAAATTTTATAATTAGAGATAAAAATAGGTTCTTGGCCATCCTAAGAAGTTTCAACACCGATATTACATCTTGTGACAGAGTTAGGAGGTGTGCCTTACTTTGATTGCTTAAGGTTGCAACCTTAAACAAACCACACACATATATAATGGTCTATGCCCTCTGACCTGATTGGAAAAATTGTGAATTTGAGAACTATTTTAAAAATCTCATCAACTCATTGAACTATAAATAATGGAAAGAATGAGTTATGATGCCCAAGAGCATAAAAAGATATCAAATATTTAATTTCATAGTTTCAAAAAGCGGACCGCCCAGCGCCTGGGTGGTTGCCTAGGCGGATATCCCTGGGCGCCCGCATGAACCAGCTTAGGCGACCGCCCAGGGCCTGCGTCCCACCCAAGGGCAGAAATGCAGCTCCTTGAGGGTATTTTTGGGTTATTTTTTTAATACTAAAAGGGTAAAATTGTGGGTTTTAGGTTCATTTGAACCTAAAACCCATTAGAAGCTATTTCAGAGAGAGAAAACCCAAAAAAAAAAAACAAAATTCTACTGGGCCGCCCAGGTTCTGGGCACCCCTGACCGCCTAGGTGCTGCCGAGCGCTTTTTGAAACACTGTTTAATTTATTGCCGACGTAATTTCTCCCAAGCTAAAAGTTATTGTTTTCCCTCTTAAACACTTGGGGGTGATTAATAAAAAGACAAAATTTACAAATTTAAAAAACTTAAAGAATACAAACACATAAAAGGCCATTTTTACAAACTTATATACTTCTATAGTTGATTTTTTTTGATAAATGATAACGTTTTTTCTTTAAACATATTGCAACATTTAAGCAGACAGTTATTTCTATAAAAATAAGTCACATTTTAATGAAAAAATGATGAAAAATGTTTGCAAGATTTTCTTTTTCCTTGCTAATAAGTCAAGATATGGATGACTAATCTCAAAGTCAAACTGATGTAAGCCTTCTATCATAAAAAAGAAAGCAATATGGGTGTGGGAAATTTACACTTCAACTCTAATTAACAAAAGCAAGACATGGGAGTATCCAATAGCAACTTACAGTTTTGAGGGAGGAGACCCTTCTCATGAACCACACCTCCTGTGAAAATCAAAATTCCTTTTCTAAGTTAAAAAACTTCACAAAGTCATCAAAAAGGTTACAAACCCACCAAAAAGGTTACAAACCCATGAAATTTCACAATATTAAAAACCCAGCAGAAATCTACAACAGTGAAAGTAGTGTTCCAAAAACCACCAGGCAGCACCTAGATGGTCATGGGGATCCTAACCGCCTAGCGCCCAGGTGGATGCCTAGGTTTTTGGGCGGCCTAGGACCTAGATTGAAGAAGAGGAGAAGGGGGCATGGGAATATGAATATACATCATAAAATATTAATAATCCCATAATCCAAAATTACAAGCCATTGTAAATTTGTAATATTTAGACTACTAGCCCAACCAAAAATAAAATATAATAGTACTTAGTAAATTAGTAATACATGCACAATCTATAATCCATACTCCATGCTCCATAGTTCATACCATTCCATAATCCATAGTTCCATACAATGATACAACCATCCAGGCATACGCATATGTAGGGACAAAAAAAGGACAAAAATGCCCCTCCCTGCCCCTCTTAGGTTATTGTGTTAGCCGGTAAAGACCATACAACCATACAATGGGAAAAAATACCTCCACGAGGGGCAGTTCGCCCCTGGGCAGGTGCCCAGATGGGCCGCCTAGGCCTGAGCTATGCGCTAAGCAGCCCCTGGCCCACCTAGGTTCTAGGTGGGCTGCCTTTTGAAACACTGCACTCCACAGCATTGAAACTATCCTCAAAAGTTTACCAAAAAAACCCTCTCCACCATTACTAATAAAACAATAAACACTAACGCGCCAAATATGGAAAATGCATAGAGAAGCAATAAATTCAAGGACTTTTTCACAAGAAATAAGGTCTAACTGATATACCCCAGTTCTGAAGCCTTCTGTTCTTCAAAGATTTCCACTTCGAAGCTGGAACTCCATATATCTGCAATGAAAAGAGAGAAAAAAAAAACCATATAAAAAAAAAATCCGCAAAAGAAGAACAAAAAGTACTATAAGTACACTATTGATTTAACTGTCTATAATTCGGTGCAGTAAAACACCAATACAGATTGGGAATCGCCCAAAAACGTGCCAGATCTTGGGCTGAATCAGCAATTCAGTTATGTGTAATACACAATTAGTTATCAATCAAACCACAAAACTCAAGTGGTTATTTTGGCTAGAGTGCTCCAACCTTATGGCTGAGGTTGGAGGAGCAAACCATCCCAGGTGCGCTCTTTCTTATAACATCTTTCTTATAACCTTTTTAAATACATATACTACATTATGTAGAACTTTTTTTTTTCTAAACCTTAAAAAACACGGAGAAGGGAGGGTTCGAACCCCCAATAACTTCAACTTAACAACTAGAAGGACTAACCAATTAAACTTTTCGACTTATCTATAACGGTTTATGTTATTATATGTTATATATAATAATTTTGTTGTTCTTTCTTCTTCCTTTTCTTTTTTTATTTTGCTGTATCGCTTATTCAGGCGATATGGATCGAAATTAGTGGATGAGCGATCCACCCATCGATACGCTTCTTGAAACGCTTGATTTTCTTCCGTGCTTTCTCTCTCTCTTCCTCTCTCTCTCTCCATGCTAAAGTTTGGATTTTATTCAATTTGAAAACATGCGGATGCAATGCAAACCCAATTTGACTGTTTTTAACGAAACTGGGATCGCAATGGAAACACAGGGATGTCATTACTTTTACATTTTACAACATCTTTGTTTTGGCTCCTTAAAAACTTTTTAGGCAAAATGAAAAATCATTGCCTACATGTGATTCCAAGCATGGGTTATCTGTGTACAACGAAAATGTCATGAATAAGAAATGGATAACCTGCCGTATTTTAAGATAGACCAAAATACTTTGGTCAATAAAGTCAATAAACAAAGTGATGCATGTTCACAACAAAGTAACATAGTATCAAAAAAGAGTACAGTTCCTAAATCCAAGAAGAACTGAAGAAACTGTGAAAATAGAAGAAGAATCCAATAACGGATCATATTTCTTTCAATTAATCCAACATGAAGCGGTCCAGATTATTAAAGCAAGAGAACCACAACATGCTATCTTCCTGAACCTCAAAACCATTATGGAAAGGGGATACAGCTTAGTAGAAGTGTAAAACATGAAATAACCAAGGCAGTAAGAAGAAAACCTCAGCACGTTTATCTTGCCAAATCATGATCCAACCATGTATCTTTTCTCCCAATAAAAAAATACGAATTAGAATTTGATCTAGCATAGGATAATAGGGATTTCAAAATTTGCAATTGCAACAAGATTATAAAATCGAATATCCTACCAATTTAAGTTCCAGACCAAGCCAGAAAAATATTCTTGAATAATACATTGCCTTGTCAGATGCACTTTCTGGACCCATCCACAAGACCTTCCCATCAAGCACCATGTGCCCTCTCAGATGCATTCTCTGGACCCCTCTTTTTCAATAGTTGTGCTAGAATTGTTGTGAGAGGCATGGAAGCCTCATGTGCCTGAACCCCAACACATGATAATTTTATAGACAGTAAACAATTTGAAGCTTCCTATTTCTGTAGAAACCCAATTAGCCACTCTATCAGTATGATCCAAATAACCAAACATAACATGAAGGCCATACCTAAGCTTGCTCTTTTACTTTTCTCATAAGAACAATGCATAAGCTTCCATTATGAATCCAGCCCCATTTTCAAAATTGTGTCATCAAGTTCAAGCTAATTCTAAACATTTCAACAACCCTTTTAAGCAAGACAATCAACAAAACCATAAGCCACCATACTGATCCACTTTACTCCTGATAATCCAAAAATTTGTGCAGATGATATAGATGCTTCTTACACAATTCCCTGACTGTGGAGATTTGTGAAATCAAAAAAACATATATGGTTCCTTTTTCCTTCTTTTTTCAGGTAATCTAGTGGACACCATTTCTATCAGTGGTAAACTCCAAATCACCGTACCTATCTTGCAGGTGATAATGAAGCCTCCTATATGTGACACCATCGACGAAATCCTTGTCTTGCAACTCCTTCAACAACCCCTTAGCCTCTGAGACCTTATCTTGCCTACATATTTCATCTATAACAGTTTGATAAGTGACAAAATCAGGTAATATTCTTTTCAAATTCATCTCCAGCAACAGATTCACCGACTCTTTAGTCTCCCCAGCCAAGGCCAAACAATTCACAAGGGAATTATAGGCCTTGCTAGAAGGAACAAAATCCAAGTCCAACATTTCCCTATAAAGCTGAAAAGCATTATTTGACCGGCCTTGTGCACACAATCCGTGAATTAGGTAGTCAAAAGAATGTGCATTAGGCTTGCGATTATACACCTCAGGCATCTGATGAAAGATCCTCAATGCGTCATTCATGTGAAGGGACAAAGAATACCCTTTAATCATAGAATTCAAGCTCAAAACATCAGGTTGAATCCCATCATTGACCATTTGCTTAAACAAACATCTTATGGTTTCCATGTACATATGACTTATGTAAGTGTTACACCCTCTACTCAATAAAGAAGTGAATAGGAGATTGTAGGTTCTCAAGGAGGGCTTACAATTCTTGCTATTCCTCATGTGTTTATAAACTCTTATGGCCTTCATGAGCTTTCTACCCTCGGTGTAGAGATAGATGATGGTGTTGAAAAAGGGCTCAGAAGCAAGAGATGGGTTTGCTAGGACTTGGTCCACAAGGGTATCCATTTTATCATAAAGCTTTGAAGACCCAAGCTTTTTGATGGTGATGCTATATGTTGTTTCATCATGCTTGAACCTTGGTTGTCGAGAAGCCCAATCAAAGATATGGAGACAAGCAAGTGGGTCTTTTTGTGAGGAGAGAATATGGAGAAGGTCTTCCGGGGTGAACCTTGGGGGAAGTTGGGATAAGGCTTGCTGAACATAGGCTAAATCTAGAGGTCGGTTTGGCATTTTTCTTCTGTATTTGGGGCGGAATTTAGAGGAGGTTTTCGGGGGTGGGTTGTTGGGTTCTGGAGTTCTTCTAGAACTTTGGGGGCCCGATGAGATAAATCTAGAGTGGAATTGGGTTAAATTCAGAGGTGAATTTAGCTGGAACTTGGATTTGGGTTGGGCTTTAGAGGAGGCTATGGGCATTAGGTATGATTCAGTTGAGGTTTTTGGAGGTGAATAATGCAAATCAAAATATCTCCTAGGTCTCTGAATTTTCCCTAAGGTGATTCTAGTGCCAAATGGGGATGGTGGGTAGTGGAAACCTGCTAAATTTGGAAATGAAATTGAACAGGACTTGTGGGCATAAACTAGGGATAGTGAGTAGGGGGTTCGTGCTAAAATTGGAGATGATATTGATGGGGACTTAAGGATTGATACAGGGAGGAATTCAGACACAAAATTAACACTTGGAAAGATGTTACCACAGATTTTGGAAGATAGGTTGTAAAAAGGCAAGGTTTTTCTATGGTTTTGGATATCCCGAGCATGCTGTTGGTGAAACAGGGTTAAATTCAGAGGCGCCCTCTGCAAGATGTTTGTATTGGGCAGGATTTTATTGAGAAGTTTTGGACTATCACATATATTAGAGGAGATTATTAGAGATTGGCAGTGGAGTTCTTTGGTTTCTCTAGGATTTGGGATGTTTTTTATGATTTTGGATGCAGAGATTCCAGTTACATATGGAGGTAAATTTGGTGGAGCTTTAGAGATAATTCGATCAAATCTAGGACCTGAACTATTGTTAGACTCCAGGGATTTTCTAGTGATTTGGAAACAAATCAAATGGAACAATGAGAAAGTCTTACATTTTAGGAAGGGCAAGCCTCCTCTTCCTAAGAGGTAGTTGTTTAGGGTTTCCAAAGCCATAGTTACTAAACCCTAATTACGAGAAAGCTAATGGATTAATCCAAGATTTTTTGCGATTAATCAAAGGACAGTTGTAGCAGAAAGAAAAATGATAAACCGCTACAATTTGCAATTATTATTTAAAGATGGAATTTCATTATGTGCTATGACAAGAGAGAGAAAGAAAAAAACCCTAGTAAAACAAGTCCGCAAACGAAGAAGACAGAGTAGTATAAACACACACTATTGAATTGAGAATGTATAATTGGGATGAATCATGGAGAAGAGAGAGAAAGGATGCAGACATATTGGAGGAGATGGGTCTCTTCGGACTTTGATACGAAATTGGGTATGTAAAAGACGGTGGGCAGAGATCCCAGTCTGAACTGCTTCAGATGTTCTTCAAGGTTTTCTTCCATTCTCTCTCTCCGCTGTTCAACCAAAAGAAAAGCTCCAACCCAAATTCATACTTATAATAATGTAGAACTACGGATGCACCTCCAAAATCCATGGGAAAAAGTAATTTTAATGTTGAAAAACCGAGCGTCTCGACGTCGAGATGTATGATCAGAAAAAATAAAAAGGTTTTTAAGTTTTAGAATTAGTACATTTTACAACATATTATCTATTATATGTAGAATTTATTTTCAAGATTTTTCTATGCTTGTAGATCAATTTGATTTTAATTATTTTTGAATTTTAAAATTTTATAATTAGCTATAAAAATTGATTTTCAGATAATCTTAAGAATGTTTTACATCAAAATTATATACCATGATAAAATTTGAAGGTGCACCTTACTTCTATAGCTACGGATGCATGTACGCCAACTGCCCCCTTAAAATAGAACTAAATTTTAAGCGTGCAAATTCCATACGGATGCGTCCCTAGGTGTAGAGGTGAAGTATAC